CCCCCTCAGTGTGGGTGGCAGCTGTGCCGGATTGGGGGTGGGGTGCAGGGAGGGGCCGTGGCATTAACTCGCTGGCCACGACCGAAGGGCATCACCACCGTTTGGGGCCGTGCGGGGCCGTGCAGGGGCTGGGCTGGCTAGAGACTCTGTCCGTGTGTGTGTGTGGGGGGGGGGATTTTGTAATTGGGTGGGTTGGAAGATTTTAATTGTATTTTAATTGTATTTTATTGGATTGTTTCAATGGCTTCACATCTGGCTGCTACTATGGGGTTGCCTGGGGAGCACATGGGCGCCACCACTGGGGTGGTGTTGGGCAATGGACAATATGGCATTGGGGGTTTAACATGTCGGCATAGAAGAAGGAGGGACAGATGGTTGACACCTGTTCCCCCTTCTGGTTATTCCCCCATCCGGAAGGTTCCAGGTATGCTTATCAACTGCTCCTCGGGCCTGATGGTGCTGCTGCTTAATGCCAGGTCGGTCCATAACAAAAGTTCCCTCATCCACAACTTAATTGTGAATGAGGGGGCCAATCTGGCTTGCATTACAGAGACCTGGGTGGGAGAGGGGGGGGGCTGTATACCTCTCTCAACTGTGCCCGCCCAGCACCAGCCACACCAGGAGGGGAGGGGGGGTCGCTTTAATCTACCAAGCTTCAATTTCCCTTGCAGGGCTTCCTGCTCTCTCGAGACCAGGTCTAGAGTGCTTATACCTGGTGTTTGACGACCGAGACAGATTGGGGATTGTGCTGGTGTACCATGCACCCTTCTGCCCATCAGACACCCTGCCTGAGCTGATGGAGATCGTCTCGGACCTGGTGTTGAAGACCCCCAGGATGTTGGTCCTCGGGGACTTCAATCTCCATGCCAAGACTGTTCTGACCGGGGTGGCTCAGGACTTCATGGCCTCCATGACATCCATGGGGCTGTCTCAACATGTCATAGGTCTGACCCATGAACGTGGATGCACGCTGGACCTGGTTTTCTCAAGGGGGCAGGAAGAGGGTGATCTGAGGGTGAGGAATTTGTGTCTCACTCCCTTGTCATTGTCAGATCACTTCCTTGTGAAGTTTGAGCTCGATGCTGGCCTTTCCCTCTGTAAGGGTGTGGACCCTATTGTGTTGGTTTGGCCTCAGAACTGGATGGATCCAGATGGATTCCTGAAGGCTCTGGGGGATTTTCCGGTTGATAATGCTGGCTCTCCTGTTGATGCTCTGGTTGAACTGTAGAATGGGGAAATGGCCAGAGCTATTGACATGATTGCTCCTAAGCGTCCACTCCTGTCTGGCAGAGCCCATGGTATACACCTGAACTACAGGTGATGAAGTGGATTGGGAGACGTCTAGAGCATAGGTGGAGGAAATCACGGGATGAATCTGACCGAACACACCTATGAGCTCATTATCAAGCCTATGCTGTGGCAGTGAGGGGGGCGAAGAAGAAATTCTTCTCCAGTACCATTGCCTCCTCACAGTGCCGTCCAGCAGAGCTCTTTCGTGTGGTACATGGGGTGATACATCCTGGCCCTAAGAAAGATCCTGTACCACCTTCGATGGCCCACTGTGACGACTTTGCCCAGCACTTTAAGGAGAAAATCGTTCAGATTCGTCACGAGCTGGACTCCACAAGTGATTCAGATCCTTTAGGGGAGGTGCCAATGACTCTGTCTGGTCAGATATTATTGGATGAATTTCAATTGTTGCAGCCTGATGATGTGGACAAGGTGCTTGGACAAGTACGTCCCACCACCTGTTTACTTGACCCCTGCCAGTCGTGGCTGCTGACCAAAGCCAAACACGGGATTGGTGCCCGGATCCTAGAGGTTATTAACGCCTTCAGGGACGGCTGGGTTCCTGCTCCTTTAAAGGAGGCAGTAATCAGGCCTGTCCTAAAGAAGGTGTCCCCGGATCCAGAGATGGCCACCAATTATAGACCGGTGGCCAACATCCCATTTTTGGGCAAGGTGTTGGAACGGGTGGTGGCGGGACAACTCCAAGCACTCTTGGATGAGACTGATTATCTGGACCCATTTCAGTCCGGCTTCAGACCCGGGTATGGTACTGAATCTGCCTTGGTCGCCCTGTATGATGACCTGTGCAGGGAGAGAGACAGGGGGAGTGTGTCCCTGTTGGTCCTCCTGGACCTCTCAGCGGCTTTCAATACCATCGACCATAGTATCCTTCTGGATAGGCTAGTGGGTCTGGGAGTAGGAGGCACTGCTTGGCAGTGGTTCCGCTCCTACCTCGACGGCCAATTCCAGAAGGTGGTGCTGGGGGACTTTGGCTCTGCGCCATGGCAGCTATGCCATGGAGTACCACAGGGGTCCATTTTGTCCCCCTTGCTATTCAATATCTACATGAAACCGCTGGGAGAGGTCATCAGGAGGTTTGGGCTGTGGAATCATCAGCATGCTGATGACACCCAGCTCTACCTCTTTTTCAACTGATCCAGGTGAGGCAGTGGCTGTACTGAACCGGTGCCTGGCCGAGGTAATGGGCTGGATGAAGGCCAATAAACTGAAACTCAATCCAGACAAGATGGAGGTCCTGTTGGTGGGTGATTCGAGCTCCTGGGTAGGTGACTTGGGCCCTGCCCTGGATGGGGTTGCACTCCCTCTAAAGGACAGGGTCCACAGTTTGGGAGTACTCCTCGACCCGGAGCTGTCCCTGGAAGCTCAGGTGACTGCAGTGGCAAGGAGTGCTTTCCTTCAGCTTCGGTTAATCCATAGCTACATCCCTACCTGGAGGACGATTGCCTAGTGACAGTGACACATGCATTGGTTACTTCCTGGTTGGATTTCTTTAATGTGCTCTACATGGAGCTGTAAACAGTCTGGATACTTCAGATGGTGCAAAATAGAGCTGCCAGGTTGCTGATGGGGACTGGGCGTTATTCTCATATAACCCCAGTCCTCTACCAGCTTAACTGGCTTCCCATTGAAGTCCAGGCTCAATTCAAGGTGCTGGTTATTACCTATAAAGCCCTTAATTGCTTGGGACCTGGATACCTAAAGGAATGCCTTTTGCCATATTTGCCCTCCCGCCCCCTGAGATCGGCAGCAGAGGCCCTCCTCTGGGAAGCCTCTGTGAAAGATATTAGGAGGCAAAGTACCTGGAGGAGGGCTTTCTGTGCAGTGGCGCCCCACGTATGGAATGCACTCCCCAGAGAGGTCTGCCTGGCGCCATTATTTGTTTTTTGGTGCCAGATTAAGACCTTTTTATTCCAACAATATTTTAATAACTTTTAATATTGATGTACATATGTTTTTAATCTGCAGCCAGGGTGGATCTGAAATTCATTTGTATTATGTTTTATATTATTTTTATTAATTTATATAAGCCATCCTGAGGCCTTCGCGACAGGATGGCATATAAATTTTCTAAATAAATAAATAAAAACATAATTTACTTTTTTCTGTATTACAGGTATATACGAATGCTTCATTTTATGCAGCAAAGATATGCAAGATGCTTTCTGTTTTTGTTGTGTGTCTACTGTTGCACACCAAACCAAATACAGTATACCCCCGTGAAGTCGCAGTTCAGCATTCGTGGCCTCAGTCTTTCGCGGAATTTTCTGTGCGGCGGCTTGCTCACAAGGAGATCGGTTTGGACTTGCCCGGAGAAAAGGATCTCTGTGCGCACCTGCCACTGCCTCGCCATGTGCATGCACTCACCCCCCGCCCGCACCACCTTGGTGGCCCGCTCCCATCGCTGGCACCAAATTCGCAGTTTTTCACAATTCGTGGGTGCTCTAGGAAAGCAACCCCTGCAAATTTTGGGGAACTACTGTACATTGCCAACTTCTTTCCTTCACCCCATCTTTAACTGGTTCACTTAGAAAATTTGTCTACATTCCAACATGCGTAACTTGACAACTATGGAGAAAGGGCAGCACAGGCAGGACCATACATAGAAAAATAGAAACAGACCAAGTCAGAAGGGGTCTCTCGGGCCATATAGTCTGACCCCTGGCTCTACCCAGCTCAGCTCAGCTCATGACATGACATGCCTACCATGTGCATCACTTTGTTGTGCTTGTACACTTGCTGTTTGTGTGTGCTTGCCCTGTTTGCTGCCAGTCACTGTGTAGCATTCAAGATCATAGGACTATCATGGGCTTCCTGGTTCAGTCACCTGACCAGAACCCAGCAGGTAAATGAGTTGTCCTCTTGGGTGGCATACAAGGGCTGGGTAGAAGGTACACCCTGCAAGTTGCAAGGAAAGCTCTTGAAGTTTCCTTCAAGAAGAGCAAGTGAAGAGCAAGTGAAAAATAGTAGGTGCTCTACACATGGGTTCTTATTACACTGAAGTATTCACATTGGGGCATAATTACACAATTAAAAGAAAACTGTTGGAATGTCTATGAACAATATAGGATTTATAAAGATCTTATAACTGTAGGACCATCCACTTCCAGGGTTGATTCCTGTATCTACATTGACTAGACCCTACTGGACACCCATGGTAAAGCCCAGATCTGGATGAAGGCCCCTGCATTTCCTTTAGATGAAAAATGGGGGGGGGGGGGTCATAGCTGATAGATATGGACTGTCTGATTTGGTCTCATGTGTGCCTGATGTTAAGCAATCAGATGCCTTTGAGGAGGGGAACTTGAGCCCCGGAAGCCACTCAAGCATGCCGGTAGTCCCATCTGGTTTTCCCAGATGGCCATGCCCCTTTCCTCTTACCCCACTTCATTTCACCTCATTTCTCCTCCAATTGGTGGCTTTCCAGTTTTCCAGTCCCCCCTTCAAATGTTCATCCTAAGGCTTGGTTACTGGCAGTCAGAGCCTTAAGCTCCAATATGATAAGGGCTTTTTGGCGGGGATAATATAGGCCTTGCCCCTTTTGCTTTCACTCTACCCATGACCAGAATGTAGTGCCCAAAAGCTTCCCCCAGACTGATTTTGCCCTTTGGCTAAAAGAGGCTCCCCACCTCTGAGACAGATAATGAATATTAAAATAGGGAAGGCAGCAATGACAGGAGGACAAAACTTACGGGTCACAGTTTCTGTTGTTACTGCAAAGTCATCCTCGGGTTGTGCCTTGGCTGTTCCATTCACCAGGGATCTGCGAGATGCTGAATGTTCTTGTGGTGGGTTTTCATCTTTGACATCTGTGGAGTGACTTTGAGAAGCTGGGGCTGGCGAGTCTGGAGTCGTCAGTACTACCGCTGAATCCGGCATGGGGGAAGAGGCTGCATTTGTATCTTGGCCTAAAAGACATGAGAGTTCTGATATGCATACCACTTTATCCTTGAAAAAGCAGGCTTGCTTGGTACCTGAGGCCCTAGAAAACTTTTATTTATTACATTTTACACTGCCCTGTGCCCAATAGCCAAAGTTCCCTGATGGTTCACAACCATTACAAAGTTTAAAAGTACAGTATAAAATAGAAGTAAAAAGCCAAAGTGAAACCTATCAGTGTAAAGATGAAAATGACAGATTTAAAACAAAAACTGAAAGACTAGAAAAATTAGAAGGTCTTCACCTGGTACCAGAAAGAGCAGAATATGGAAGCCAAGTGGAATGGGAAGCTCATTCCAAATTTGAGATCCTTTTCCTAGGAGGAGCCACCCACCTTGACTCTTTGCAGGGACTCCCTCAGAAGAACCGCTGAGGATGATCTCAGGATCTGGGCTGGTATGTATGGGAAGATACAATCCATCATGTAGCCCAGCTCCTATCTGTTTAGGGCTTTGACAAGAACTTTGGATTTTGACATGAACATGAGATGGCAGCCAGTGTAGATAGAAAAGGACAAAATATAGTCACATTGGCCAGTTAACAATCTCAATTGCTCTCATTTGGACCAGCTGAAGTTTCCAGACCATTTTCAAAGGCATTTTTCAAGGATCTCAGCAATAAAAGCAGACCACCCTCCACCCAAATAGATCCCCACAAATGACCAGCAGTAGTGCACCCAGTTTCTAAATATTATCAGTTAAAAATAAAACTATACATTTGCATTTGTTCATGGATTAAAACATTTTTAAATTTTAAATTTTCAAAAATTATATATATTCAAGTTACACACACACACACATGTGCACACAGAGACAGAGACAGAGAGACAGGGTTTTTAAAATGTGAAACGTTTCAGTCACAATAGAGAATAACAGTAGGACCAACAGTGAATTAACAGGGCTATCTATACATGGATGCACACTATATATAGCTATAGATAGGTACACATATACAGAGATGAAGCACACAGCTTGTCAAGGATCAAGCTTGATAAGCTGATATATCTATGAGGCTTATGCACATGGGTTGCCTTGCTCAACTCCTTTCCTTCTTGGTGCACGTGATTCAGCATTTCCTGGGCAAACAACCACAGTTCTTCCTTATGCTCAGTGCATTTCCACTTCTTTTTCAGGTGGACAAATGGTCAGGCTGCTTTGAAACTATCCCCGTTTCAAAATCATTCTACTACCTTTGATCTCCCATTTGGGGCACTGCTATATCTTGACTGGGAAACTATGGTTGCCAAGATCAGAACTAATCAGGATCTTAATTTCAAGCTGTGGTTTACAGTATGGCCTATACAAGGGAGGCTATTAACCTGACAAAAGACTGGATGCAACTGAGGAATTTTACTGGGTTTACACAGAACACATCAAATCCTTCTTTTCCCATCTCGTAGCAGCACATACATCCAGGTTTCCTCACAGACTGTTTGCCTTCCTCCCCATGCCGCAGCCTTCCACCTTAAGAGCCCCTTCCTGCTCCTGCTTGGCACTCAGAATAGAAACAGTTTACACATAAGATGAGCAGCTGAAGCGCAGCAGCTTTGGAGGGATGCAACCACACTTTATATAAAGCAAAATTACACCTTAGGCAAAGAGAGTGAGGCCAAACACCCATAATTACACTGATGGTAACAACAAGGCCTCCTTGCAGCCAGGCAGGGGGCTGAAGGCAGGAAGCAAGAAGCCTCGGACCCATCATTATATCCAATATAACAAGAGGTCCTACATGCAGGCAGGCAGACAGGGAGGGAAGGAGACAGGCCGCATGCACATAATTATAGCAACTGTAAAACCGAACACAGCATGAAGAGTAAGGGCCAGATCTTTGGGGTGCCACACTTAATAGTCAACTTTCTTTAGGTTTCAAAAGCCGCTGCATCCACCAGTCACTCACTGGCATAGCCACATCTCAGTCAAAATGTATCAAAGGCAGAGCTCGACTCTGAAATATATGCAGTTGTTTGTTTCTTGAAGGCATGTGTATGTCTCCCCATGTCATAAAGTTTGCTGGCCAGCTTTGGTAAACAGTAAACAAAGGACGCTCACAGAAGAAAAGAGTCCCATCTCTTTTTCTACCATCACCCTGCAGTCATGAGCCCCTGCCAAAGCCAGACCATTCAGTAACGGATTGTGTGTGTGTGGGGGGGGGGGGGCTGCAGGGAAAGTGAGGGATCACACAAAATTTGGCACACGTCTGTCTGAGCTGGGGTGATGCTCCTCACTTGGCATTTCCACATGATTCCGGAGCACCTCCTTGCCCATGTTTTCCGGACGAGTCTTTGAAAAAGGACAGAAGGCTACCAAAGGATCAGGAGGAAACTATATTTGCATGAATTTAACTAAGTGTACTTATCTTCGGATTCAAGCCATGTATATAAAAGTGCCCAATACAAAGTATCTCCACAGGAAATAGGGAAACAGTTTAGGAAGCACAGAAATCTAGCCTTGGATGTGCCACTGTAATCGATGCAAGGGAAGATCCACTGTAGTCCGTGCTTAATTTTGAAAACAGGAGATTGTCCACAAAATATTTGCCCTGCACACCCTGCTTAACAACCTATCAGTACAAGCCTATATGTACCCACTCAGAAATAAGTCCCACTGTGTTCAGTGGGACTTACTCCCAGTTGAGGATATACAGGATTGCAGTCTAAATTGAAGAGGAAATATGCTGTGATTTAAAATATTAGTGACAGCAACAACAATAACTCTTCAAAAGTCTTCAGTTTTTCAGACCCATAACACATCTATATCTATGGACTAAACCACATGGCGAATGGTGAGGAATTCTGGGAGTTGATATCTAGGAGCATTTCTATACAAGACACAAGACACTTAACTACTGTGTCTACTTTCAGTTTCATCACAGAATTGAGACTGGAGCTCCATACAAAAAATGTTTCCTTTCCTGCTTTTCTGCTAGGGAACTGCTAGCTGGTGATGCACCATAGTGGAATATTGAATTGCACAAGTAGGAAGGTACCTTTTCTTTCTTACTTTCCCTTCCAGAAGTAATATGTCATTTCCCACAACTGAAACAAAAAACCAAGAACAGGAAAATGCTTTTAAAAACAGAAGTAAAACTAGAGGATATGACATCATCTAAAGCAACCATAAGCACATGTGACTAAGGACTCACCACCATGCAATAAATGCCTTGTGTAGAAAAGCTCCAAAGCCATTGGAGATCTAAGTTTTGCCCACTCCAGTGGTATAGTCGTTAATTTTCAAGTGCAGGTGCTGGTCATGCCATAGCCATGTACCCAAGGAGAGTCCCAAAGGCAGGCTCATATGGAAGAAGGTGGTCTTTCATATCACCTCATCCCAATGCCATAGGGAAGTTTATAGGCCATAACCAGCGCTTTGAATTATGTCTGAAACCAAACTGGTAGGCAAAGGAATAAAATGCTTCCTCTTAAGTGTCTTCAGTCAGCTGTCTGGTCACAGCAATCTGGGCCACCTGAAGTTCCCAATCAGTTTGCAAAAGCACCTCTGTGCAGAGTACTTTGCAGCAGTCCAAATGAGATGCACGAATATAGCCAGATCAGACATTTCTAGGAGGGGTGCAATTGATACATTAGCCTCTTCTATGTAAATACAAATGTCCTTGTTGCAATTTTGTATTGCAACAGGGATGGCTGACAACAATCTACTGTTCCTGGGAAAATATTTCCAACTCCCCCCCCCCCCGCCCCCACTGTCCAGTTACAGTAAGGACTGCAACTAAGAGAAAGGAGAATAGGGAAGGCTTGGCAGCTGGCATCATCATCATCTTGTTGATTAAATCATCCCAGAGTTTTGACTCAACAAACCTTAATTCCACTTCAACATTTGTCTAAAAGTGGTGGGTCCCCCTGTTAGCCATGAAGGTCCATCATCTGGCTTTTCTCTCTAATGCAACCAAACTAATGCAACCAAACCAAGCACTTCCTAAATTGAATACGATTTGTTTGGACATAAACTAAGGCATTCTCCCCCACCCCCACCCCACACACACACTGTTCCACACACTATTTTCCAACCCTGTCCAAATTAAGATTAATTAAAATATATTAACCTATTAGAATCTCAGAGCAGGAGAGTTGGAAGGGGCCAAGAAGGCCATCAGGTCCAATCCCTGATCCATGAAGATCTCCAGATTCAAGCATTCCTGACAGATGGCTGTCCAATTGCCTTTGAATGCCTCCAGTGTAGGAGAGCCCATGACCTCCCTAGATCGTTGGTTCCATTGCTATACTGCTCTGACAGTCAGGAAGTTTTCCCTGATGTCCAGCCAGAATCAATTAATACTTGTTGAAAAGTATTGCATCCTTCCTGAATAGGCTCAGCAGAGGGGGAAAGTCTTTCCTAAGGCTTACTTACTGGCTGCAAGAGCTGTAAGATAAAATATCTTTGCATTTTAGGCTCCACCTCTTTGCTTTGGCTCTGCCCACCACTGGGGGGAATTCAGCCTTAGGCAGAATCTGACATAAAGGCATAACTTTCTTGTAGCCAAGGTTAATGCAACCTTCCACTAATTCTAACATACCCACAGACTGATGGAACAAAACCAGAGCCACACCCAATGAAAACAGACCACATAAGGCAGGTATTCTAGAGGAAACCAACTATTCCATTACTGGACTTTTCAGATACAGGAACTATACCCATTAAGCCAAAAGCAAGAGGCCTTAAGGCCAAAAGGAAAAGAGGAATTTCAAGGAGCCTGAAGCCTTGTGAGGAAGGAAAGGACCAAGCAGGCTCACACTTTCCATGAAATATAGCCATTAACAGTGCACTGCACTTTTCCTGACCCAGATCAGTTTGCTCACGGAATAGTACTCAGGGGACCTGTATGTGAGCAGTTCCTCTTCAGACTGCATGTCAGATCGGTCCACGCTGGATAAAGGGGCCTTCTGAAAGACTTCTCAGACACACATACATGCACACCACCTTGAGTCTAAAAACAGGAAGACAAATATTGG